TTTTTTCTGGGACACCCTGTACTTTTGAAGATATGGACCTTAAAACAACACACCCTAAAGGTAGTGTAACTTAACACCTAATGCGACGACAAACTTGTTTTAATCTATATAACACATCCCCGTCTAAGTGGATAGAATGTTTCAACTCAATCTGACCAGTACTTCTGTCAGAAGATAAACAGCGCACCTTGAATGAAGCATGCTCCTTTATTGTCATAACACTTCGTAGACAATTTACACCATTATATTCATACGACTCTTTTCACAAAGGCAAGTTTAAGCTCCACTAAGTTCTTTTTAAAGTACTCCCCCTCAAAAGAGAAACGTTTGCATTATGTGGAAGTCTGTGCATGCATGTTCGGTTACAGGCGTGTGATTGTGTACATGTACTGTACACTGTAGGCCTACCATGACATGTTTTTGATCTCATGACGAAGTGGCGTGAAAGTCGACAAAATGTCATGATAAACTACCATGTAACCTTAAATCACGTCTTCTTGAAAATAAATTACATGTGCGTTACAATCTGAACGTAGCACTGGAGAAAAAATGGGTAAATATTCCATTTCATACAGACCACTGTGCCAAGTTTGAAGAAAATCAAACTAAGATGATCATTGAAGCTTTTCATGGTGAAGGGGACAAATAAATAAAAAATAGAGGCTTGCGGTAGCACCGTGCATTGCAGGATACCGGTGTCTCTTTGTGAAGGGGGGGCCTACGTGTGGTTCTGGAAAGAACCGGGATCCGGGTACTCAACGTTTCTGAGAGTATGCTATAACGGAAAGGTACTCCCTCCTAAGTCAAGTTTAAACTGTGTAAAGCCTTGAAGAATGCCACTCTTTCTTGATCGACTGAATATCAGTGCACGTAGTTTTACAAACTGAAATAAATGGGATAGCCTATAACATGAGTATGTCAGTTATGTTATTTCGAACGGGTTTCAATATTGTAAATTACTTGAAAACCCTATCTAAGATGGTTTTTGTAATTTTTGAACATTTGGGAAAATGGCAAATAGAATTTAACTTTAACGCCCCAAATCCTTTGCTCTGTATTCCATCATGGAGCTCGTAATATGTTAATGTGTGTAACTGTAAGCAAAGAGTCTCTTTCACGGAAGGACGGACGTTTTGAATAAAAGGCCAACGGGTGAACATTCCTCTCCCCTGTAGTTGTTTGTGTGGATAAATACAGGCAACGTCACAGTTTAGCCGGGAAACAGTTACTTACGACCGAGCACCAAGCATGTACCGTTGCTGTCAGGTTTTCGGCAAATTTCTCCGCAACGACTTCTGCGGACCAGCCGCCCACTGGTCTCGCCCAAAGTCTAGATCTGTCCTCCAAGAGTTGACCAAGACCGAGGCGCCGCAGACTGTTAGACAGTTTGAGGAGATCCCCGGTCCCAGACTGTGGCCAATAGTTGGATGCCTACCTGACTATTTGACGAATGGCCTTAAAAACGAAGGCTTCCATAGGATGTGGGAAAAGAGGTAAGCTACTCAACCAGTTCGAGTTTAGGGTGAAGTAAGGGTTAGGAAGCATTACGTTAAAACAATCCTGGCAGTATGTTAATTTCGCTTCAGTGATGGGAACTAGACCCATATTACCTTCCCAGAAGAAATCAGCATGTTCTGTGAATACACGTACGTCAAAACTAATTTGTCATACACCTCACTATGAACATGAGCAATCCTTACGGCCAATGGCGGTATGACCGTCAAGCAAAATGAAAAATAAATAATAAGGGAATGTGTGCTTGAAGAGAATGGACGCGACCAATGCCTGAACTACAGCAGAGGGCATCATCAGCGTTCATTCTCCTGAGCCGGTGTGACGGTCTCATTTTTCGGGCATGCTCAGATTTGCGGGTAGTAAGCGAACACTGTCGAGGGACCCAAACTAGCACCCGGACATATGCGCAGTGAATCCCATTTTGGTTCACTTAGTTTCTGCACCACCATAGGCCTTCGATGGAAATATCGTTAGATGTGGCAAAGCGTGTCATGCTTGAACTTAAGATACAAGAAGAGACCTCACAGAACAAATGGTATCTGCGAAGTACAGTTCGAATCCTTCAGGGAAAACGGAATCCACAGAGAGGAGAATTTAGTCCCAGGCTAGGATCCAAGTACGGCAAGGTGGGGCGGAGTGACTTGTGACTATCCAATAAAATAATGACGGCGGCATTTTGTAGAACGCGGCGAAAGCGCCTGCTCTTCGTTGTGGTTGTTCTGATAAGTAATTCAGCAATGGTAAATGCGCATTGTGTGTACATGAAGTACTGAAAATTACATCCCGAGGTGGCTGTGATGAGTAAACTATGTGGATCAATATTCCACGCAAGCGACAGAACCGCGCCCACCTCCCTTTGAAAAAGGAGTTATTTTGCCCCACATTATAGTCCTACCAGCCGTTGGGGGTACATTACATCTTAATAATAGTATTCTTTTTAGTCTAACGGCTGACGCTTGCCCCCACTTTTAAAACCTTTCCGCCGCTGTTGGTATTCCCACGTACGTTCATGGTGGGCATTGCCAAGTGCGCGTGCGCTAGATTTGCACTTTTTGCACAATTATGGCACAGCAACAGACTACGGTTGATTGCAAAACGAGGCGTCATCTTTGTTAATGAATTAAAAATTAAATTTAAATAAACGGAGTTTTAATAATAAAACTATTCCTGACACATTCAAATTACATTGATCGTTTTTCAGTAGCACTGATTTTGTGCCCTGCTTAAAAAACTTAATGAAAAATGTGGGTTTTTATATAACCCCCAATTTGATTATTTTTCATCGAAAAAAATTGATTGTTGCCCCAATTTGATAAATATCTATTAAAAATGAGTTTTCCTGGTTATAAAAACTAGATCCATATAAATTAGAACACTGTCTTAATCGACTGCACACAAATGATATAATCTATACCACTTATGAGAGAAGGGGGCCATACCAAGCAACGGTGGTCTCGTGTGCACAGGAAAATTGCGATTAAAAAGTCTTTTACAGAGCACGAAAAATCCGGCTTAGATTAGAAATTGATAGCAAAACGACTTAATGGCGTTTTCTGATGAAAAGCCTGACAACCTAAGAGAAAATTATCATCAAAGTCGCACCCCTGTACATTTCCAATGGCCTGCTCACACTTCTTGCCGCCAAGGCAATTTGTGCATAATTATGAATTTATTAGTGAAAAGGTCTATAAACTTACCAGATAAATAGGTATGTTGCGGCAAAGTGCTCATTTATCCGGCGAGTTCTTCCGGAAATCCGAGTACGCCTGAAGAATGAGACTGTGACACCGGTCTTAGGCCAAAACGTCAGTTTAAGACTGACAAATACATATTTATTACCATTCATAAATACCATTATAGTCAGAGAGTCGATACAAATCCATATACGATAATTTTCCAGGAATTTTTCCAAGAACTTTACTTCTGTTTCCCAAACACCTCCATCCATTTGATCGTAATATTCCTTGTGCAAGTAGTCCAGGAGAGTCCCTCTGTATCTAGTTCGGGAGTGTGACGTCACTTCAGTTTAAACCACGCCCACTGCACACGTGCAGTGCACATAGGGTTACTTGCATTGATCACCTTTTATGTGGAACCATGGAACTGGAAGTTAACGTACAACTTCAGGAATCGACCGGGGGGGGGAGCCTGCAAATCGTGACGCGCCGTCCGCCTTTGTGACAAAGTCACTTACGAACCGGAGGATTTGGCTCGCGCGTGGCGAGTTCTGCGTGCCGCGCGCACACAGACTCTTGACCAATAGGAATGGATTTAACTGTTGCGTATCCAGGTGCCTCAGCTTTTCTATGCAGCGGGCATTATCAAATGTTAATACACGGTCACGTTGTATGTTGTTGAATAGGGAGACTGTCTGAGGTAGGGTATTTATGAATGAATGTCAATTACTGTCATTGCAATAATTATTTGATAAGGTCACGGACTGAACGCCTATTTGCACAGATTTGAAACAGTCATTAGGTTTTAATGTGCAACGTCGGAATGAATCGTAGGAAATCACTACATTGGGTGAATATTTCAAGGAAAAATTCCCGATAAACTAGATAGGTTTGCGGTAGCACTATGGATTTATCTTTTTTCAGTATGTTGGGCTCTGAAAACAACCAGTGGTACTTTATATATCCATGGTGCCATCGCAAACCTGTCAAGTTTACTTGCTACCTCAACCATGAAAAGCGTCAAACCTCAATAAATACTCGTTTGAATAAAATCCTCGTGTCTCCTAAGAATTCAAATATTATTTTTTTTTGACAGTGAAACAGACTTTTTACTGAGCGGCTGTTCTGTACACGTTGGGATAAAATAATCATTCAATAACTTTGGATCGATGTTCAAACAATCAGATATATTCCGGCGTTGTACGATACAATTTATTCCATCCAGTTACTAAACTATACCAAGAATAAAGAATTGACGTTGCCAAGAACATGCATCATTCATTCGCCAACACTAGATTTGTGTAAACACTAGCAATCCTACTACCTCAAAAAATCTAACCTTGAAATTTGCATCAGAATAAAGGGCGACCAAGTGAACTGCGTATTGTACATGGCTTTATGACTCCAAACTTGACAACGAGCTTCTTTCAAGTAGTGGCACTCGTGCACTTGTCAAGCGTGGTACGCTAAAACCCTATAGAGTACTGAAGTGTGACGTCACTTTGAACAGGACATTGCAGAGCAAACGAATGGAGCGTGTGCGCGTGTTAGCATTATACTCTACACAGTAATGTAATGTAACTGACGGGGGTGTTAAAGCGATCTATTTCGCATAATATCCGGACTTATGTCGCTTCAGGCTGCATCCGAATCTGTTGTCTAGAGCTAGGTCTGGGTCTTCCCTCCATTGGAGATGTGCAAAGACGAATAGACAATAGACCTAGCCGTAGCTCTGGAAGCCTGTTTCGGACACGGCCTAAGGTGCTTGGTGAAAGATGTGTACAAGCCTATATATATACTCCAGCCGACTGAAAGAAAAAATCTCATGTTAAGTGAGGAATATTTAAGTTTCCATACATGTTTTCTTTACGAAAATGTTGACCTGCTTCGAAAGGCAATGAAAGGGGTACGAAAATAAAGCAGACATAATTACTTCAATCTTAAATGAAGTATTGCTTGGACGGCTGCTTCTCATTTTATCGTTTAGTTCTACGTAATGTAAGTTATTACATGTGAACCCCAATCAGGTACGAGGAGTTTGGAAAGGAGAGCAAGATAGTGGCGGAGCGAGTGTTTCATCGTCAGTGGGTCAACGTCTACTCACCGGCCATCATAAAGCAGGTGTTTGCCCAAGAGGGCAAGTATCCCGACAGGCCCTCTTTTGAGTCACTCAAGTCAGTACGTCAGAAACAACTGGGTCATTTGGGAATTCCAGCTGAGTAAGGCTCTTTAACTAGAATGAGGTTCATTTGCTTGTATATTATTGGGTAGTTTGAGAATCATCTCTTCAAGTTGTCAAGGAAACATGCAGCGCCTCTGAAACAAACGTCTAAAATATGTCAGCATGCGAATTCTGCATAACCGCGCGCACTAACCAATAACATTGATTTTCGAAACGGCGACGCCATCCTAAGTAGAAATCTGCTGAACCATTGATTAGTTGATAGGTGTCATCTGACCACTCTTGAAGATTCAAGGTGCTGGCGTCCGAGGAATACGCGTGAGTAAGTAATTCAATTTAAAGCTCAAATACGTATTGTATAGGCATAATCGGCTTGCACCACATTAGCGGGTGGTGTGGAAAGAACTTTGTCGTGCGGTGCCATGTATTCCTTATATGTCATTTGTTTCGCCAATTGCGGCCTGTACTTTGTAATATATGGCTGCTGATTGGTCAAAATTCTGGAGGTCAAAGGGGCGATGTCTTTCATAATTGTAATTTCTGAAATTTACTCACATACGTTAAAGATTGGGGGACTATTCACTCTAAAAACTCCCGGGTCAGATTGACCCAGAATCGGGTCCCATTTGGCGTGACCTTTTTCTGGGTCAAAAATGATTCCCTTTCGAATCGTATTTGACCCTTTCCGGGTGATTATTTGACTCGGAAAATGGTCACACCGAATGGGACCCAATTCTGGGTCAATCTGACCCGGGAGTTTTTAGAGTGTAGGCCTATGCACACAGACGAGCGAAAGCAGCCATGGTGGAAAGTGACATACCAGTACCACATATGTAGTATTTTACACAAAAGGCAAAAACCTGCTCGGGTTGAAATCACTGTTGTTAACTTTCGACAACAGCAACAGGAAAAGTAGCTAAACCTTGCCAGTCAATCCATAACGTCATCTAACAAGAAAGCCCAGTGACTTGAACTAATGCACTATCGCAGCAGCGGAGCACTTAAAAAAAATAAAATTGTATTATTTTAGGACATGCATCGCAAGAAGAAAGATGATACGGATAACTATTTCGTTCATATACGGATGACTATTTTGTACGTACGGTTTCGTACATGAATGAACTTGGGCAATTACGCCTTGAGCAGAAGCGCTTCCTGATCCCTTGAAAAGAGCCATACTGGTTGGTGCACTGTCCTAATTCAAGGCAAATTCTCCACCGGGCCGAGGCGCTTTAAAAATACCCCTACAGTTTCTTTTGAAAAAAAAAGTGGGATTGCGTAAATATGGCCCAGGATCAACTCCCTAGATTAAGGGGTTCCCATCCGAGGGCAAAGCAAACAAACATTCTGCTGACAAATTGTCTGAAGAGCCTGAGAAGTGGAGGGTTGTCACTTGAAAAAATTTGGTTTAGGCTCAGGAACGTTCACTTTTTGAGTGGATAATTCAAAAACTAATTGGATAATTAAAAACCTACTCGGTTATCGTACTAAACTTTCAAAATTTATTGAAATCTGAAGGACCTGGCGATACATTTTTTGTTTGAGAGGCCTCAGGGACTTCAGTTTCCTGCAACGGGGCTCCGAACTTTGTTGATTTTACTCTGTTTTCAATGGGGCTTGAATTTCAGTTAGTGCAGTGAAACCTTTGATACACAATGTTTGTTTCCTTGGTCGCAACTTGTACGCAACGCAACATGCTTCTCAGTGGAGTTTCCGTTGCAAGGAAAATTGCGCTGGGAACAATAAACTTAGTCTGGTTCCTTAACCAAAGATTCCCTGACATCTTTTGATAAATTCTTAGGTTAGGTATCACCCACGGTGAGAAACAGATCATGACGCAACATGTCAAGGGTCACAAGGAAAAGCCTGGGTGGGTCCTATGTATATATGCAAGCTGTTAGTGTAGACGCTCACTTTGAAAACATGCAAGAAACTAAAAAAAAGCCCCCTCCCAAAAAAAAAGCGTGGGAACGGAGCAACATTGTTTTGCGCGGACCAACAAGCAAATGAAAAACTACATGTTTATTTCATTATGCATATAGACGACCGGATTCTATAGGATTGTGATCACGGTTTGATTGTATTGTGTACGCATGTGGTGAGCAGGAACGGCGAGCGCTGGAAGAAGGGACGGAGTCTTTGGAACAACCGTGTGCTCCGGCCCAAGGCTGTGGAAGACTACATTCCCCGTATCAACGACGTCGTCGATGACTTCGTTGAGCACATTCGCCAGTTAGTAACTGCTGGGCCGCGAGAAATTGACGGAAAACAGCTTAAGCCTGGGGAGGTGCCAAATCTTCTGACAGAATTCATGAAATGCGGTCTGGAAAGTGAGTCACCTTTCACCTTTCGATCAAAGACATTACAGAACAAACAGTCGAGGTTGCACTTCACATCCTCAATGAATACACCTTTAGTTAACTATGTGGAGATAGAGAAATGACATAGCAATTAATTGGTAGAGGCCGATACAATGCACAATGGTCTTAAATGCTTGAGTGGAGGGAAGGGTGTAAACCCAACAGATTCACTGACTACCCTAAACATAGGTAACGAGGGGTTTTTTTTAATTCGAGATTTAACCATAAAAGAATTATATATTGAAGTGGGCCTGTCACATTGTATAATCGACCAATTTTATGTAGTGATGGGATCGATTGCACTGAGTAAGCGTCTCGGGGGGATCCGACCGGGTCTCGATCTTGACTTGGACGCACATCGTTTCGTGTCTGAAAACGTTCAGATGATGCTCCATGTGACGAAGCTGGAGCAGACCACGTTTCCACTCTACAGGTCCTTTCCAAGTAAGAGGTACCAAGCCATGAAGAGACACTGGCTGAATGCGTGCGCCATAGCATCCAAACTCATGGAAGAATACGCTGACCGAATGAACGTGAGACATTATTTTTTTTTCAAACAAACACAGCCCCCTCCCTTAAATTAATCAAAACAGACTGTAATCGAACGATAAAAGAAAAAGATGAGTCTTGAGGACATGGGTAAAATGACAGTACAACTGACTATTGCATAATTTAAAATATTTTAAATTAGTACACATAAACGTATAGGTGATCTTTCATTTACGCAAACAGATTTTTTAAATGAAGGCCGAGAAGGAGGTCTATCCAGAGAAACCACTGTAATAGGCCTACATCCACAGAGTATTTTACTACTCAGTGGTATACAAGTGTAACCATCAATCTCCATTACAAAGACTGGATTGGACACGCGAACGCTGACTCATATGGTGAGGATTCGAAAACGTGGACAGCTTGGCGGTGGGGGTTTGCGGCATTTCGCGCATGCGTATTTATAACAGCGGTATGTTAGGAGGTCGTTTAAATCAGCCTTGGAGATAAAATGCACCATTAAACGTCTTAGCTCGGAAATATGCTTTAGCAAAGATGTCTAAGGGACGGAGCGAAAAGAAGGGGTGTATGTTTGAATTTTGATATAGGCCCTATATTGCAGACACATTAATCAGCTCGAATTAGGTGTAATATCTGTGGGGCTGTTTTCTATTCGTCTTGTTCCTGAAAATTCGGATCAATATGAATCAAAGTACTTCCCGTATAAATATTTTATCATAATGCAGTTGAATGAATTTACTCAGTGAATAAGTGCAATCTGAGTATTTATGTTTAAATTTTACAAATTAATGGAAAGAGCCGGGGACTCTTTCAATTATATTTTTCTATAGACTAATTTACAAACAATTGAAAATATATATATATATATAGAAGCAGGACAGAAAACAGAGGAATTTCATTGTGGAGTTCAGATATTTTCATACTTTTTTCTTTCTCAGTAGCGACGAAAAGCAAAGCTATATGACATATAGTTGACATATAGTATACAAGTTGACAGCACCCTGACATGTAATACAAAAGGCACACTATATCGGATACAAAGGTTTTTTCTTTCTTTATGCACACTATTTTATTACAGATTGCAGGTCTATAAAATGTAACGCCTTTGAATTTGATACATTAAAGAAAACATCTCCAAATATTTAAATAATTTCTTCGCCAACTAATTGTTACATAATGAAATCCATGTTTCCAGATTTGGCAATTATATGGAAGCAATAACAGAATCCTGAGAGAGTAAAAACAGCAGTATTTACATTAAAAAGTTATTTTCAACTTAAATGAACATGGACATTAAAAATCGGCATAATGGACCAAACAAACTAATAATCTCACACATGGGCAAAATTAAGGACATTATGCATCAGCTAGATCACTTGGATTAAAAAAAAAACAGAAACGTACGACTAGAAGGCTCGTGCAGCTGCGCAGTTACCGACAGTCCGGACAGAGGGTGTCCAATTGCTTTGCAAGTCCGAACAATTTTCCAGCAGCTTTCCCTTTAAAAAGTGAGAGAAACTGGAGCAAGAAACTCTTCAGCCAGACTAATTTCCCCATGCGCAGCATACGTGTCATGTACGCGCCGGTCTGGAGCGACGACCGCAATTTAAACTTTCAAACCCTCACCGATGAAACGCGTGCTTGCACAAGATGGAGGGCGCCGTGACTTATCCAGTCTTTGTAATGGAGATCAATGTATAGTAATATTAGTTATCACACGAGCGCTCGTGGAACACAGAAATAATGTAGTCCCTCTGTGTCTCATATACCACGAGGCCGAAGATTCTGTGTTCTGCTCGCACTCTTGTGATAATTAATACTACATAGGCCTATATATGAAGAAACAAAGATAACGCCCTTAATAGAGAAACAAAGAAAGGAAATATTTCTAATGTACTTGTATTCTAATAATCTTTGACGCAACAGCAGTATAAGCAAAGATTTCCAAAATCACTTTTGAGCAGTAGGCCTAAGCATTCTTTGTCGTGTTCACTTCTACCCAATCATAGGACACCCTTGACAGTGAGGACTTTACAGACAGTATGGCTCCCGACATTTACTCCTATTTTCTAGCCAAGAACACACCAGCCAAGGAGCTTCTTGGGTATATGCTGGATCTACTCACAGCCAATCTGGACACAGTAAGTTTCAGCGATCTTAGAAGGAATGCTGGTTTTTGTTCTCGACCATAACTTATCGCCAAAAGATGGCACAATCTCAAATAAACCGCTATCACACACGCCACTACCACATATACTAAATTAATACTATCACAATAACACAGGGCCTAATGCAAAACTACAACTTTCCAAGCTAACAGTGATAACGCTTTAGAAAGCTAAACGCTGTCGCGCGGTCCTCAACGACGCACAAATTTCAATATTGCGGCCATAAATGATATTCTTTTTCTCTGAACAAAATATCTTCCAAAAAAACCCCAGATCCACCAAGTTGACCATTGACACCAAAGTGGTCTCATAATGCTATGTAAAGATGTGAAATTGAGTGTAAATTTAAACACACAAAATAAACTCTAAAATCTTAAAATGGATATAGCGTCCTCTTGTGATACAACACGACCAACCATGATGTCTCTGTGTTCAATATAACGTCAGCAAGGCGAACGATAAAGTTTGCCACCATTGGAACCCCTGTGAAGAGCTAATCCTTACTCTGTGTTTCGTCAATACAATCTCAATGGACACGAAACTAATACAATATCGAACTTTAAACAGATGTCAAACTCAATGAACATGCTGCTGTACTGCATAGCGAACAACCCTCACGTCCAGGAGAAACTGTACAGTGAGGTTAGTGAGGTTCTTCAGGGAGGCAGAGTAACGGCCGATAAGTTGAAGGATCTGAGGTACCTGAAATGTTGTGTCAAGGAATCAAGCAGGTTCGTGAAGTTTTTCCCGTCTTGAGAGTCCCATTTTCACGCGAGGGCAGGACTATGAAATTTTGGGGGAATGACACGAATTTTCTCAACATTGTGCAATCAGCATTATAGGCCAACATGTAATTTGGTAGTACAGGCATAGTATGGTGTAGGTATCGTGAGAAAAGTCCTGTCAGACTCTGTTACCTCGATAACCTTTGATGAAGCTTACAAGGCTGACACGGAAGTAACGCTGAGATCAAACTTAATTCGTGCGAAGAAGTACAAGCAAGATGAACTTTACTTTGTGCACGACGTACACATCAGCCCCAGTTAATTAAGAAAAGCCATACAAACGCCGTTAACGACTTCTGTTAAATTTATCTTGCCGCCAACGTTAGAATATTCATGACGGTCCCCGGAACAGCACGTGTTCTCGACCATGACATCGTAATAAACGGCTACAATGTTCCAAAAGGAGTAAGTTTGCAGTAATATTGCTGCGGTACACATTGGTATCATTCTACATAAAAGTACGGTAAATCAAGTTAAACAGCAACCCAACGGTGGTGAAAAAAATGGGGAATACAGTTTAATATACTCACGCCACGCAGAAATGCTTGTCGATTACATACCACAGTGGAAACGAAAAACATCATGACCTTGCAGGACCTGGTTTCGTATATATGTTTTCGTACAAAGGCCTGCACGCCTTAGCTGCCAGTCTGGCCTGACACTTTTTTTCGGAATATAACAACAACATAAGAAACATTGAAAGCATCTGTCCTTCACTCTGAACTTACCAAGCCATATTTATCAAATGATCTTGGTCTCCTTCACCGCCTCGCTCCCCAGCAGTGGGCCCATCGTCAGCCCGATAGGGATCCCGTCGGCGCTCCGGTGGTACGATGGGTTCAAAGCCGTAAGGCTCTGCGCCTCGTACTTGGGACAGTGTGTAACTGCAACTGCACATGTGTTACTAGACTACGTGTAATTATGTGCATTGACGTGTCGCGCAGGCTCAGTGCGTACATTGCATCAGACGGAGAACCGTTTCCACGGTGCTATGTCGACAAAATCCTGGAAAAGTCATATTCATAAGATGCCAATGAAGCTATGACGATACGCTCCTTTCACGAAAGCTGGCGTGGCGCTCGGCAGAACTGGATTTTTTAAACCAAAAATATTGCTGAATCCCGGTTTATGTGGCATTGATATCTATAATGGATCCAAGTAAACATACTACGGCCAGATGTCTTATTTTCTTCCACCGTTGGGGTTGCTCTTTAACTGAACGCACTTCTAGTGCCTAAAAACATACTGGTCCTCACTCCTTCGCCTGTTGAAGATTTCAGGACTGTCAGGGTGAAGGTCTGAAAATTCCAAGTTCTTTATACTCCGTAAAAGTCGTCGACTGGAAAATATTTGGCAACGTTATTTTGACTGACAACTGTTCGAAATGACCTCTGTTAATGGCAAAAACTAGTTTTGCTAACAATAAACTTCTTGAAAAAGCACTGAGAACTGAATATATTCAACTGATATATTGACTACCGAAAGCCAAAAAGTATTTTCCTCAATGAAATACGTAAATAAGTAAAAAGCAAATTTCCATACAGTGCTAATGCTGACAAAGACTAAATTTAATTGGCCCATCGTGATCACATTTTATTTCATTTTGTTGCATTCAATCACAATAGACCCAGATTAACATGTGCTTCCAAGTCATGTGTAAGGATCCGGAGATTTTCGAGGAGCCCAACGAATACAGACCGGAGCGTTGGCTTGATGTTCGTAAGGCCCCAGACATGGCATTTTCACATCTCCCCTTTGGATTCGGCCCCCGCAGCTGTGTGGGAAGAAGGCTGGTCGACCAGGAAATGTACATTTTGCTTGCCAACGTAAGTAAAACTCAATCTTGGATGTTAGTGTTAATTCCATTGTCAACTGCCTCATCGATTCAGCTATCATTAGCGTCACAACCACATTTATCGTAACCCTGGATTGATAATTAAGTAGGCCCTATATAATGTACACAAATCTATTCCTATCCCACTCATTATGAGATAAAAACTACAGAAACGATTTCATTCCAGGTTTAAAATTCCTGAAAGTAACTCACTAAAATTAAACATAAAAAATGCAAGACACATCAAAAAGGGATTAGAATACATGAAAAGCTAACCCATAACTATCTATGAAAAATTAAAACCAAACCAAACCAAACCAAACCAAACCAAACCAAACCAAACCAAACCAAACCAAAAACCTTGATATTGCCAGCACTGTACTCCAGATTTTCAGAGGTAAATTTGAGATACTGGAAGAAAAAGTTTCCTTTTCCCTTTTTTCCTCGTGCAGTTGATGTCGAAGTTTTGTATCGAGAACCTCTGTGATAGTGAACCTGACCTGGAATGGATTGGGGTCAGTCTCTCTGCATCCAAACCTGTGAAACTCGCCTTTCATGAGCGCTGAGGGCGGCATAACAAAAAAGTTGACGCCTATCTCCACATTATACACGTGAAAAGAAAATGGCAACGCAATCAGAAAAGGTTTTGATACTTGTTATATTGCTTACTTTTCGTATGGCCAAGTTTGCAGAGGTAGTAACTCAGAGGATCATATTTTAAAGGAACTAGGAAACAGAAATATTTTTATAAGTTATAATGAAAACCCTCGAATTGCATCTTTGGGTTTTAATTAACCTTATTTCAAATTTTAACCCATGTTTTTTGGTTTATGCGAATGCATATTTGCATATTCATGAGCAGAACTATGTCGTCATCCAGGGCACTTAATCTCAATGTTGCACTGATCTGTGCACAGAAAATTTCTAGATTTTTAACCACTGCTATGGCAGATTTTATTTTCTTTGGCAATTTATTGCTGTGTAAGTATATGGCAATAATCCAGCAAAAATCCTTTTCACATAAATGTTCCAAGATAGCAAATTTGGGGTTTAAAATTTGAACATGAAAACATGCAATATGAACCATGTCTTCCTGGATTTACATTAAAGCAAAAGTGCCCTCACTTGTCCAGAAATGCTCGGTCAATTTTTAATGTTTGAGAAAGTGCACCGTTCAGTTCACGTAACCCAAACAAGATGTCAAACAGTCTTCATACATTGAAGAAGAGTACAGAGACACACAAAAAGTGATTCTAAGAAAAATGCATTTCCTGGATCCTTTAATTATTACGTATTTAGTTTCATTGTTCATAATTTGGTGTTTTGATAGCTGAGTGAATGTTGTGTTTTGTACAGACGGTTAGCCCCTGTCATCAAAACACGACTGTGACATAGAAAGGCCAGACCCTATGCAGAAAGGGAACTTGAGGCACAAACAAATCGACATAACAAACCGATTCGATTCCGCTGAATACACACTCTACTCAAATAACAAATTGTTCTGAATTCTTTTAGTGCTGTTTTCAAACTGGATTGCAGAGTGTGAAAAGTGTGTAAGAGTTGGATATAAAGAGTTTGTACATTATAAAAATAATTTAGTGGTTTGATGATGAGCTTTGGCTTCAACGCTGCCTTAGCTCAGGCTTGATATTAGGCGCGGCAACAGGCACGCACGACCACGGGTTCATGTCACACACGCACGTCGGTCGTTATAGAAGCCGTCTACACACCGTCAGTGCAAATCATAAACACTTTATAATCAATAAATATGGACGAACACGTGACAGTGACAGGGAAAACAAGACAAAATGTCTGGAAAGTGCAGATTTTTATTTAGGAAAAAATGGTTGGCCACGGAGCTCGGAAAGAAGTGGCCATGTTGCACGGTGCTGCTCGGTTTGGAACGTACCATTATCTTAAGGGGTGACAGTGAGATAGTGATAATTGACAGGTGACAAACTCATTTTTAATAAGAACATTTTGTATCCAACCTATCGAAATTCTCTTTTAGCTTATTAAGTAAAGTGCATCTAGTCGACAATGTGTTTGGGCGTACCGATGGCGTGTTGACAGCTTTTATATTTTATCCGTTAATTTAATGACTGCTCCAATGGGTACACACACAACACTTTTTTTGGGGGGGGTTGCCTTAAAGGTTGTGAGATATTTGAACGAACTTCCAAAGATCATCCGTCCGGACAGTTGTTGGAAAAGCTATTAACAATATTATCTAAAAAATGACAACATTTGGGGCGGAAGATTTCACAGTTTGCCTGACGCTATTTTTTACTTACTTTACATTTACTTTATGATATTTACAGACAATTCGGCAGTCTCGTTTTCGAAATTAGACAGTTGAGGGCAAAAACCTCAGCTTTGGTCTTAAGGGACCGACGCCCTGTAATTTTAGTGCCTTGCTTTTCACGGCTCCTGTTTTTCGGTTAATCTGATTGAACCTTTGCCGTTCTTGCACCCGATCCGACTACCCACCGCTACTTTAAGTGAGGCCTGTACAGCAAAATACCATGCAAGAACTGTGACACTAATATATTTTCGTATGATGCAATACTTTAGGCAAACTTATACGTGAGGCCAGACAGCGTCAAGAAGATTTGCAAGCAGAAGGCTCGAACAAGCCTCACTTACAAGTTTGCCTACTGTATTGTATCATAAGATAATATATTAGCACCACTGATAGAGCGTGGCTATTTCGCTGCACAGGCCTCACTCATAAGTAGCGGTGGGTAGTCGGATCGGGTGGTTCTTTAAACATACAGCTTCAGGTAAGTTATGAGCTGTCTTCAAATCTAATTTATTCATGTTTTACCATGGAGAAGGGAAAACACTGTGGGTCTTTTACACTTTTCACTTTTACAGCATCACTTTTTTTATAACCGTAATAGGCCTCGTATACTTTGCTGTTTTAACCAAAACAAAGCTCTATAGTTATTTTCTGTATAAATGTACTGGGTCCAGGGAGTTGTAATTAGATTTAACTTGCATATAGTTATACGGGATAGATAGAACTTCATTTGACTTGTGCTGTGCACTGCTGATTATGTTCTGAGTAATCTGACGAAATCGAATGGACACATGTTGAAAAGGTCGGCCATTATCATTTAGAATGACCGATGATTTAAACATAGCAGCCCTGCGCTATCTCCAGTATGCCCGATACAACTGTGAAGCTAACCGTTTAATGAATCTGAACAAAAAAAAATCAAATGGAAAACCGATGAGTCAAGTTTATAACGATATCTATTGTTTGCAAGGTGTCTTGGAAATGCCTGTCTGTAATGCCTATTGTCCCGACTGCATTGTCCCACGCAATACCTAGCTATTCCACGTACTGTGTGGGAGACCAATGGGATTTTTCTCGGTTTGGGACGAGCCCGGCATTAATCAAGTCAGATTTGACACTTACTGCTACATCATTTGCAGAACTTGCATCAGGTGATCTATACATGTACCAACCGTCGTCTAGACAGAGAACAGTGAAAATTCCTTGTGATCTCTTGTGCTTTACGAGTGGACGAAGTCACTTGGGGAGAACTTAGGATGCTGATGATAAACCGAAAGAAAGAACAGTAAAACGTAGAATTGAGTGGAATTGCCGGTTGTCCAAGAAAACCCAAGAAGTGTTTGATGACGCTCAAAAATATGTATATGGTGATATCCCGATTCAAGGTCGAAGGAGAACATATAAACTCTAGCAGCTAAATATGTTAGTGTCGTCTTCCAGTCGTCAAACTTAAAGAGCACCTCTAAGGAAGCCATGTTTTCTCTGATTTTATCTGTTCAAATAAATATGGACGTATCCAAATCGAACGCCGTGTCAATTGTCTTCAGAGCTCAACTATAACCGGCTAAAAAGGGCCTTTTTTCTGTTCATGCCAAAATGAGAATTCCGGAATGTAGATTGCGTCGTTCGGAGAAAACAGAGGAAGAGTAGCAGATACGCAAAACAAAAAAGCTCAGGTGAACTTGGTATAGGTTAAAACTTAACATGTAAGTACATAACCCTAGAGAAAATTTCCAAGTTAGCAACCTGAATTAGTATTTGTCAATTTAAACTGGAATATTTGGCCTTTGCAAACTGAAATAACCTGATGAACTTCCATGAATATACCCCCTTCTCTGTTCTCGCCCCCTTTAATTCACCCGACCATGGTGCTCCCTCATTTGACTCCATGATCCGACGTACGCGTGTACGCAATGTCAACATAATGTGTGGCCTTTAATAGTGCAAGACGTTTTTACACTGAACGATCGTTACTGTAAGCGTAGGTGCTGAGTGTTAACATGTACAGCGTACATGTGCAAGTACCTGTAAACGTACAGTGAATGCACATGTTCATGTACATGTAGGGCCTACACCCACACAATCTTTCTTCACACACGTGCGCCACGCACAAACATCTACAAACATGTTTCGGAATCATTGCAAGAGGGCGTTTCATACATGTTCACTGACCCGGTGTAGACGGTAAATCTGTCTCCTCTGGTAAGAGAGTCCGGGGTACAGATTTACCTTCGGTAAAAGAGTCCCCATGACCCAGTAAATTTGTCCCCCTCCAAGTTATTCTGTCCCCTCCAGGTAATTTTGCCCCACCCCCCGTTTTGCCACACAGAAGTAAATAATTTTCGGGTTGGATTGGTGAATTCAATCCACATGAAATATAATTAATTTTTTTGTAGCCCCTCATCAAGTTGTAAAGGGGGAAGGGGTATGAGACTCAAAATAAACCTAGCTATGTTTCCGCAATAAATACGAGAGAAATCCGTATTTTGCAGACTTCTCATACGCGTAGTAATTCTCAGTCTCGCCGCGCGGCGTGGTGTAGCTCTGACTTGTAGAAGAAGGAAAACGACCGCGCGAATCTCAACACTGGCATCATGCCATCTCGCCACGCCGCGGCCTGCGAACAATTGTCGAAAGTAGTTCCAGTTAACAATGTCCACGTACGACGTATGCTTCAAGCCACAGCCGCTGGTCCTCAAGCACAGTAAACTGTGCGCGCATGACTCGGTCGCCATGGAGACTGCGCTTAGGATATCGCATTAATCCAATCGCCGTGTTTTAGCGTAACGCGCATTCAAAGAAAAAAAACCACGCGGTGCCAGTCTATATGTTGCGCGGGAACAGCTGAAATCAGGGTTTGGGTTATAGACTTGTGAAGCTGCACGGGGGACACATTTCTTGGGGGACAAATTTACTGTTTGGCAAGAGGATAAAAATTTGTAGGGGGACACAGTTTACAACCACAGTTTTACCGGTTACACCCACCCCGCGCCTTTGTGGGTGCACCCAAGCAAATAGGCTATGGAGATATATCCGCTGATCTCATTAATAAAAGTTACCCACTCAAGGTATTCTGTAGAATCCTGAGAGCCATGGAATTGGGGAATTGAAGAAATATGACACTGAACCAATGGCGCGGATTCAGGGCTTCCAATTCTGGGCAATTTGGATGCAGCCGGGTCCGAAAGTAGCACTATTTAGCCGTTTTGCAGAGGGATGCATTTAAAAAGGGCTACTTTTCCGGGCAGTGAAATTTCCTTCATTTAAGGGGTGGACTGCTTTGGGTGAGAAATTTCTCCAAAATTCATCGGTCACAACCTACTAAAAATTGAAAAGAAAACGAAAGAGGATATGTCGAACATTGTTTTTTTCTGTCCAGCCTGGACACTGTGAAAGTTGTATTTTAAAGAAATTTTGAAATACAGTAAACTCCGACATCGCGTAACCCGTCATATCGTCCAAGTCGGCCGTTTCACAAAAGTCCCAATCGCCCGTAATGCATTTCTATTCAAAATTTCATTTCTAAGTCGGCATTTATAAGTTGTCATTTCGTATATGTCGGCATATTTTTCTCGGTCCCTTTTCCACAAAAACCACACAAATTCCTTTGCGTAAGTCAGCATTAAAAAAAATCGTGCTTCGGTATCGGTTTCCTTCGCCGCGGTTGCCAAGAAGTGTCAAGTGACAAGTCCCGTGCACGCGCGTCGAGCATGAGTACATCAATACCAGTAACCCCTCTAGAGCTACCCAAATGCGCTCTATCCATTTTGGGGGTCGCCCGAATGAATAGTCTGGTTCCCTGTCCAAAGATTCCCGAACAACCTTTGATGATTCATCGGGGAGTCAGAATCATCGGGTCTGGTATCCAGACTATATTGAACGAACTTCATCAATGCGCGTGTGTGGATGAGTGCCTGTTTTCTGTACCGTAACTGTAGATACAGTCCACTAATTCAAGNTCCCACGTGTTTGCATTGTAAGGCACAGTCCACTAATTCAAGACCCATTGAAAACAGTGTAAAATCAGCACTATTCATGGCCTAATAACATGCATACCAACATCCCTGAGATTTCTGAATCACAAATGAAATAATTGTCTGGTCCCTAATCTTTTAATTTCTTTTCAATTTTTTGTGGGTTAACCAATTACATTTTAATTATTCCAACAAAACAAAATCAACCCCCGAAAAAGTGATTTTTTTCTGAAGTCTGATTGGAGCTATTTTTCAAGTGGTAACCCTCAACTTTCTCGGGCACTTAGGACCATTTTCAACCGTAGTTTTTAGCCCTTCTGCTCTCACATGAAAGCTGAAAGACCCAGGCAGTTGATCCTGGCAAGGATTTACACAATCTCACCATTTTGGGGAACAAACAATGTCCTTTTTCAAATGATACTGTGGGGGCACTTTTAATGCTAATGAGCTGGCAAGAAATTCTCACTTGAATTAGTGGTGTGTACCCGTATGTACTGCACTATCGAGTCGCGATGTGATATGCAACTTTGCAAGTGGCTTCCCGTCCTTGCTTCGTCCTTGGGGCCACATAGTCAATTATTGAATTTGCAGGATAATAATCGAGAACGAATTTGCTGGGATCGACCATGGAGGTACAAATAAACTAGGGTAAATCAAAGCCATTGAATGCTTTCCTCCATGATTAGTGCAAGGAATCATTATGTACATAGGCAATACATGTGTACGTGCATGTAAGTCGGCAAAATGACGACTTACAACACAAGCCGGCATTCGCGTAAGTCGTCATGATTTTTTGAGTTCTGAGAGTGCTGACTTAGCCGGAGTTTACGGTAGAAGCCGGAGTTTACTGTAGAAGGATTTGTCATTGGCTGTCTATGGGAATTTACTTTTTGGGGTGCACCTTGTGTGCGTCCCGTTGGCCACCTTGAAGCGCCCTCTATCGGTTAATCGCTGTAGAGGTGACACATCGCGACGTCTTGCACCGAGACTATCATATTACTGGGAAAGAACGCCAGACAACTACGTGCCAATGCCAGGTGGCGGATTCAGCAAGCCGCAATCCAATTAGTGACATGATGTAGGCATTTACGTGGGTGGCCTCAGTTTAATGTCCTTGGCACGCTAAGCGGAGCACCAATTTTAGAAATCTTCTGGGCTTCCTTCCTCTATTCGGTACATTGCTGTGCACAACTAATTAATCAGTCTAGTCATGCACGAGGAAAGATCAATATGCTATTGTTTGTATCATGCAGTGTAAATGCATGTGAACATTACAGTGCACACAAAGTTAAGAAACATACATGTATACAACTGGCAGAGAAAGTTAAGGCCTATCTTTGAGAACTTTTTCTGCCTTCAGGAATAAAATTACAGAAAATGTCCACGTTTGAGCTGAAATGAAACAACCACGTTCTAGCACTGGTGGTGGAAGGGGAGGTGGAGTGGATACCTTGAACAAAAATCTGTTTTATAGCTCTCTGATTTGACCCCCCGCATCTGATGCATAAACTGTTACAGCGCGGCATCCCTCCGTAAAAATGAAGCTTTCTTTAAAACCACAACACAAAGGAGTGAAACACCTGCCAAGTTCCAGCGACATTCCAATTGTGTTAATGGGCGCTCTGACCTATATCATCGCACAGCCATAGCCATGGGTCATGTACGAAACAGGCTTCCTCAGCTATTGCTTGGTTTATTATCTCTGAGCCAATGCAGTGAAGACCAAGACCTAAATCTAGATTACAGATTCGAGTACAGCGAACCAGACAGCACGTCTACCTGGGTTTGTAGCTCTATGGTCTATCAAAGTCAGGAACCCCCATCCAAGTATTGACCCGTAATTTGACACGAAAGTAACGTCATAAGGTCAGTGTTAACATGAACTGTCTCGATTGATGCATATGAGTACTGAGCACACACAGAGCTAGTTCCATAATTTCATACAGAACACAACACAGATAGCTATTGTCTGTTCTGCCAAGGAGCTCTGTCGAGAAAATTACGACACTGAAGGCAACTATAGTCATGTCGCTCGAGCGGAAGCACTGGATCGGTATCACTCTCGTTAGTCTGCTGGTGATAGCTCTACTAATCGTGGCCATCGCCGTCCCCCTCAACAACCAACGTGAATGGGCCGACAGTACGCTGACGAGCCGAGGACTGGCGATGAAATACCTGAGTGAAACACCGCTGGTAGACGGGTAAGTGACCGTTTTTATCAGATCATGACCGACTGACAGTAGGGGGTTTCCCTGCGTTGTTTCTCCTTGGACCGTGTACTTTCCCCTTTGCAATGTGCATCAGTTATGGTTTTTGTTTTTCTGATAACTGTCGAGACTGAATTTACACACAGCTGACACTAATCCTGAGAAAATGCCGGAGTAGAACAAACTCTTGGACACTATAACTTCTCTGTTCTCTCCTGTAGAAAACCAAGACTTGACTTAAACGCCTTAAGCATTTCTTGAAGTTCCAATTGGCCATTTTTCTCCAAACTATGCAAGGTCATCCGTGGTTTAGATCGAACGGAAACAAGGCAAGATTTTTGAGGGCTAAATATCAAAAGTATTTCAACACAGTACCCAAAATACCATATCTTAAGCTTATGAAAAATAAGAGTACTCTATGGCTAACTCAGTCGAGTCTTTGAGTTCTGACCAGTTTAAAAGCTGCATCAACCCGTGGAGGATTACGAACAGAGAGTACCGAAGTGAATACGTCACGTGTACAAGTCTGTGTGTGAAAGCAGAGAGGAAGGGCACAGGATTTGCGACTCTGGCACTTCAAAGTGCTTGATGATATTGTAGTCACCGCGGAGCCAGACGAATAATAGAAAACTTCCAATAATGCCTGAGTACTGCCTGCAGCTTAGCTGGACAAATGGGGCCAGTTATATCCTACAATACTTGTAGTGTTTTGCTTGCAAGTAAAGGAAAATTATAGCTGTGACCCGGAAATAATGAGAAAAATATCCCTGATGTTAGACCTACTTTTGCCATTGAAAATAATTTTTTTTTATGTTCATATACTGTTCAATTATCCATGCAAAGTTTGTAATTTTATTCTTCTCCCTCCGATTCATCAGATTTTAAGACTGTTCAAATTTAGCTAAGAGTAAGACTGGCCAACAAAATGTTGACCATGTTTCATCACAACATTTGAAGCAAGATATAGGACGGAGAGAACCCCCCGCCTTGGTGTTGGTCACTGTTTGATCAGAATCTCAGGAATTCTTTACAGACTTCTAGGGGGATGTGTTAGGTAATTATAGTCTAGAGTGTGTATAGGGATTGGACAGGTAAGGGGGGTACCCCTCTGTCCGATATCTTGCCTGGTATACATCACAAGGAGTGATCATGAGATCTCGTAAAATATACTTTTGTCTAAAGACCGACAACAGATTCAAACAAAACAAAAAATCTTGTAAAGAAGGTGGCTATTTATTCCCAAAATAAATCCAGAAGAAAGCGTTCATTAAGCCTTTAAGAAATTAAGGGCAATAACTGCACATGTACATGTACATTTAGGGAACACAGCGCAACACAAGCAACTGCGCAAGCATTAATTAAATTTGATGTTGTAATGAGACACAAACAAATGCAATGAATATTCAATTTCTTATACATCAGTAAAAAAAATTATGGATGCTGATTACCAGCGAAAAATTGCGTCGCCTATCATGGGGAACAAAGGGGTTTCGTGGTTGTGTAACAGATGGTACGTAGCAAGCGCTGGCTGGCTCTGGCTATGCCTATGGACATACCTGATATGCCAGAAAGCGGTAATTGGCCAGATGTTACAACTCGGGCAGTTCCAACTCCTTCTGTGTTCTTCCGCTACGGTAAAAGCAGTTGTGCGAGAACTAGCGCTGAATACGCACGTGTACTCCTTTCATTTGCACTGTTTTATTTTTAACTGGTTCAAAGTGGCGTCACGCATCACGTGAATGATGCATTCACCCATGGAGGCATTGAACCCAATCGTGGTAAAAAGTGGTCAGGTAAAGTATTTCTGCCTCCAGTGTGAGAGAGATAAAGCCACCTCTAAGCATGTGGTGAGCCAGAGATGGGGCGATAATTAGGTACTACGGCTCACTGAATATAATAAACAACTGCATTAGCCATCCACTCCGAAGGAACGGTACAGTGCCATAGTAACAAGCTGAAGTTTTGCAAGTAGTTGGGCCAGACTATCAGCAGCCAACTGGACATATTTCAGTGTATTATGTACATAACTCTCAGGTAACAATGGCACGGTGCCACAGCTTGTGCGTAATTGGCGGAACCAAACCGCTCAAATCCAACTTGTATAAATTGAAATACAAATTTAATGAACGCAACGCTAACAGCTGCCCACACTGAAATTTGCAACATTTGGGCATAAACATGATGAAATAAAGGTTAACATAATGTAATATTGTCTTGCCAAATTTGTAGGTTTCCCAGGCAAATTCGTGGAAATAGTAATCATACATGTATTCATGTTCTGGTGGCTAACCAAGAATACTCCCTGTTGGGTTCATGTTAGATTTCAGAAGTGTCGTCTTAAACACACCTTAACCCTAACCCCCTAGAGTTTATGTAAAATCATATTGAAATCGGAGATGTGGGACGTTGTGTCATTCGTTTGAAGCGGTCATTCAATGCAGCAGTTTGTAGCTGAATGCTTCATGCGATTTTGTAAACAACCCAATCTTCCCGAAGGTGGGGTAGCATGCTAATCCTGAACCCAATGTAAAGCTTGCACTTGTGCCTTCTGGTAAATCTCTTCCCCAAACAGCTTTCGCACACAAATATGATTTGAATGGTCTGAATGGTTTTCTCATCAACAGACAGTTTGATAAGTCTGCCCATGGAGGTATATCCAAGAAGAAATGAAACCAAGGGATACCCCCAACATGTCCAATCGCTATAAAACTCTCTGGACTTTTGTTACGTAACACATCCCAGATGTCTGAAAAGAATTCCTCAGATTCCAGTGAAACAATGACCAACATAAAGCAGGGGGGTCTCTCCGTCTCGTAATATCTTGCGTCATCTTTGAAGCAAGGAAGGAGACGAAGGAGTTTGAACTGCGCGGGCTATAACATCTGGCCAATTACCGCTTTCTGGCATGCCTGGCATGTCCAGAGCGCAGCGAACGCATGCTACGCACCACCTGTTTCGCAACATAAGCCTCCTTGTTTAATGCAGTATAGGAAGATGAATATTCATGCCATCGTTGGCGCTTCGTAGCATCTGACAACATTATCAAATTAAAATTAATGTTTGCGCATTTGCTTTTGTTAGGCTGTGTACCCGAAGTGTTCGTGTGCAGTTATTGCCCTTAATCGAACGCTTTCTTCAGGACTTATTTTGGGAATAAATAACCAAGTTGTTTATGTGTGTGATTATGTGTTTCATTTGAATCATTTTTACTACGGAATTTACACAAAAAGGTATTTTATGAGATCCCACGATCACTCCTTGTTATGAAACAGCGCATTTTGTTTCTCGTGAACTTAACTGTCCTGTGTTGGTCAACATGTTGTTGGCTAGTCTTAGCCAAATTCGTACAAAGACTTTGAAAAACTTTTGGAGCGACAAAATAAAGTTACAAACATTGCATGGATAATGGAAAAGTGTATCAAAATCTTAGAAAAAAATGATTCACGACGGCAAAAGTAAATCTTATGTTAGATATTTGTTCTTTCAATTTCCTGATCACTGCAATAAGTTGTAGTTAAAGAACAACCCCATCGGTGGTAAAAAAGGGGAATGCAATTTAATATACTCACGTGGTATCTCAGTAATAAGTTATATACGTAAAGTGGCACTGTGACTTCTGAGTTAGTTACAGAGCGATAAAAAAGGACCAATTCTGCAGGTTTTTCAAAAACTGTCCACGTTTGTATTGGTGGCGCCACGCAGAAATGCTTTTTGCTTACGTACCACCATGGAAACGAAAGACGTCATGACCTGGTTACGTGGGTATATTTTCGTGAAAGCCCTGCACGTCTGACCTGCACGGCCTAGCCTGACACTTTTTCGGAATAAAATACATCTGTACCAAGACATATTTATCAAACAATCTTGGTCTCCTTCATCGCCCCGTTCACCAGCAGTGGCCCCATCGTCAGTGCGATGGGGATCCCGTTGGCGTGCGCTCCGGTGGCGCAATGAGTTCGAGGCGGTAAGGCTCTGCGCCTCGGACTTGGGACAGTATACATATGTACATTAATAAGCCATTTGCGAGTTCAATCTGAATAAAATCTGGTACACTGAGATGTCTGATTGCACGTAGACATAAAGATTCGAACTCCGCAGACTAAAGACACTGTTGCTATACCTCGTGATTTGGAGGAAGCTTTTGTATAGACCACCATCTCTGGTTCCTTTGTAACCTCCTTATCCATTGAGAATAGTGTATTTTTGCAAGGACTCTCTTATGTAACTAAGCAAAAGCTTGCCCCAAATCACGAGGTGTAGCAGCAGTGTCTTTAGTATGGATAATCCAAATACATGTAGTTAAGTTCACGTAAATTTATAGCAGCAGCGTCTTTAGTATGGATAATCCAAATACATGTAGTTAAGTTCACGTAAATTTCAAGAACTCAGTGTACCAGATTTTATTCAAATTTAACTCGCAAAAGGCTTATTGTAACTACACATGCGTTACAATACGTGTAATTTACATTAAAGTGCGTGACCACGTCGGATCAGTGCGTACATTGCATTAGCCGGAGAACCGTTTCCACGGTGCCTAGCTACGTGGACAAAACTCTGGAAAAGCCGTATTCATGAGATGCAAACAAGCGATGACGACACGCTCCTTTCGCGAAAGCTAGCCATGGCGCTCGGCAGAAACGGGTTTAAAAGTGATTTTTTCAACGAAAGATATTGCTGAATCCAGGTTTATGTGGCATAGTTGTCTATAATGGGATCCAAGTAAACAAACTACGGTCAGATTTTTTAATTTTCTTCCACCGTTGGGGTTGCGCTTGAATTGCAAAGAAAACACCACAAATATTGCTACGATATTACTGGCCCCACTTTTCCGGCTAAGCTGCAGGCAGTAATCTGGCATTTTTGGAATGTTTGCTAACGTTCGTTTGACCGCGCGGCGATGATCATCGATCGAGCTCTTTGATGTGCTAGCGTTGTGTGCCCTTCATCCACGGTATGCCAAAACGATTTCTCCTTCTTGACCGTAACCAAGGCCA